GGTGTGGGCAAGGGGCCATTCTAGCTAGGCGATCACCTCTTCTATGGAAGTTGACAAGGGCTCAATGCATTTTCAGTATTGTTGTTCTGTCAACAATGTGCACTCACTTAAGCTTTCCATCTCCTTTGGATTTTATCTCATGTCAGTATTATTTTGAGACTTTAAAAAAACAGATGTACTATTTAAATATGTCATTTTACCCTGTTATTGACACCATAGAAAAAAGAAAATAAACGATCAAAAAAGTGAATCCACACTGTCTTCTACATTCAAGTTTTTTTTGTTTTTTTTCCCTTTTGACTGCAATGTCCTTCTTACCTCCCTTCCTTCCCCCTTCTGTAGGCAAAGGAGCACTTATTTATCTTTTAAGACCTAGCTCCCACGTAACTTCCTTTGTGAAGCCCCTATTGACACACCTGCCACTAGATAAACTTGATCACTCTTTTATTTGTGCCCCTCTGCACCCTGATAGCTTCCACCTTAGTAACCATAACTTTTATTGCTCTGATATATTTATAAAGGATAATCGGGTCAGTGTACGGCGGGTGGCACAGGGAAACTATTAATAATCCCTATGTGCCTGCCACCTGCTACGTGGGGATGCAAAGAAGAATAAGATGAACCCCTTGCACTTGGGGAACTCACTGTCTACTGGAGGAGAATGTCATAACATACATATTTAAAATACAATCTTAATTTCATGGCTAGAGATCTGTACAGGGTATTATGGAAGCACTAGGAAGAAACACTTTAACCACTGGGGTAGGGAGTTTTGCTTGGGAGAAGGCTCTCTGAAGAAGGTTTTACTTGCTATCATAGTAGACTTAGGAGTCACCAACATAATGATCTCAAACATCTCACCTTCAGCACAAGTCATTTTGGTGCTAAAGTGAGTGTAGGGCCCCAGGCATAGCGATGTGGTCTCAGAGAAGTGAAGAGAACTGTGGCCTGTGTCCCCATAGAGGAGATGGGGGTTTTCCATAGATAAGGGCTTTCTCACTGTCTCACGACGTTGTGAGGGCCCTAGTTAGGGCCAGGGCTTCTAAGAAATTTGCAAGGTGAAGATAAGGGAACTGTCTTAGAATGTTTAGTTCCTTTGCAGGCCAGAGAGGTACCTTTTCACTTTGAAGAAAAAGATAAAGGCAAAAAAAAAACTACATTTGAGCAAATAAAAATTACCCTTGAACTCACTTTTATCTGATGGGCTACTGTATCAGTCAGCTTTGATAACTCCTAGCACCTTCCTCTAGAAAGTAGCACATGCCACTTCTACTCATATTTCATTGGTCAAAGCAAGTCACACAGCCAAGCAGCGAAGGGGCAGCCAACATAGGAACAATACAATAATACCATAGCTACACCAAACCCAAAGCTGATGGCTCTGAAGACAAAAGACCAAGAAGGGGTCAAACAAAAGGTTTATAAACATTAACTTCAAGCATGAGAAATATATGATTAATCTGTTGAAGAAAGAAATTTAACAGAATCAAAACTTCTTTTCTTAGAAACAAAACTTGAAACCTATAGAAATCAAAATATACATAATGAGGAAGATTTTGATGTCCTTCCTGACAAACAAAAAATCAGACCTAAGGAACTAAACAACCAAAGGAGAAGTGCTTTACTTTGGACATAAGCCTACTGAAGCACATGCTTTTATAGTATCTGGATTGCTTCTGGCAGGTCACAGAAGGTGTGCAATGGAGGAAAATGGATCCACAATGAGCACTGCCATCATTCGGCATCACTGTTCATACTTGGAATGCTATTCACTCACGTGTTGCCCACCCAAACCCCACTCATTTGCTTTAGTTTGCCTCAAATGCTACCTTTTTAAAGAAACCTGTCTAGATCATTCCCATCAGTATGAATCACATGGCCTTAGATGTAGTGGTGCTTGCATTTCTATTCAACATATTTCATACTGTCTGTATTATGATCAATTATTCACTCTCCCCTCCCCCCACCCCAGAACTGTGAATTCCTTGAGGGCAGAAACAGTGTTTTATTCCTTCTTGGGTCTCCCACAGTGCCTAGTGCAGAGCAGTGCATATGAAGATACAATTCATTGTTGTTGAAGTTCATGAATTACAGTCTGTATAAAAGCCATTTGACATGCATATCTCAGCTCTACCCTCAAGGTGACCCCAGAATATAAAGTACACACAGGAGGAGGAGGTAATGATTGCTTGTGATTACTCCAGGGTCCAAACTTATCCATACAATAAGAAAGCCTTGGTAAGGTAGGCGAACAGAAAAGGTAGGGAGGACAGAGCAGTGTAGGTATGGGGTGCTGGGAAGCAATCTTAGTACCTCTGTTCCTCTGACATCTAGATTAGTTTGTCCCTTTAGGTACTTCTATTTATATTCTCTTAGTATCAAATGGCAATTAGTCATATCGGTCTTAGTTTTAATAAACTGTTCTACTGATGTGGCTTGGCCTTAGTTATGCAAACAAAGCGAGTGATATAAAACTAATTTAAGGGATCAAATATGATATTAGGTTGACAGGCAATTGAAAATTATATAGAGGATACCAGGAGTACTTATATTCATAATACACAGTATGAATATTTTTAGATTCTCCGATATTGGACTTAGATGTGCTTGTTCTATTTTGTAAATCAAAGAATTGGCCTATATCTTTGATCTGTGTGTTTAGGTTTTATAGTGACAGACATCTTATAATAACTAGAAATAGAAATTCCATCTTTGGTAGTAATGTAGTACAGGGACCTGAGAAGAGAAGGTCTTAAGGTGCTGTTAATTAGCAGAAATCTGAAGCACACAGTCTCAAAGCAATTAAGGCTGTTAATTGAGTATGTAGATGCACAGCGGAACGGCTCATAGCTGGCCAGGGAACCCTGGGCTTGCATACAGGAGTTACATTACACAAATGATGTTGAACAACTGAGAAAGAACAAATATGGGTCAACTTACGTTTGTCTAGTAGTCAACCGCATTTTTGAGTGGTGATACACTGTGGGCAATGTGCAAAATTGTCTATTCACTGCAAAATTCAATATCAATAATTCAGTCTTTCAGCCTATCTTTTGCAAAAATGGCACACCATTTACTCAGGGAAAACTCAGTTTTTTTTTCTTTTTTTTGCCATCGTGATTTTGCTGTCCTTCAGTTTGGTAAACATTTCTATGATTGATGTGATATTTTAAATGCAATTGGTGGTCACACAGTAGCTACAATGTCACATCGACGCACATTTGGAGGCAGAGAAGAAAGGACATTGTTGATAAGCTCGGAGTGGCAAAGTGATTTTACTACTGAATTCCTTCAGAGCCTTTGTACTGACTTCATTAGTTGTGTTATTTGATTAATGTGTGAACATACTTTTAGAAAGAAACTTAAACTGAAGATTGCAAAAAAGTTTTCAAGAAATAAAATGTTCCTTTTCGAAGAACTTCAGTGGAAAGTGGTTCATCTTTTCAGCAGTGTTTGTTATTTTTAATAGTCATGGCTTTAGGGTGGGTTTCTGCTTCTGCCAATCCCAGGCTTACAAAGTTGCAGAGGAAAGAGTGTGCTCTAAAGAACACCCGGAAGGCAGTGAGTGAAGAATGAATTTGCTTTCTCATACTGCTTCAGTCCTCTGGACAGTATGGCCAACTTTCTGATCTCTGCATTAAGGGAAAAAAGAAATTACACAAATGCTCAAAATCCACAGGTTATCATCAAAACTAATGCTGGCCAATAGTTTTCACCTACTTTGCTAAACCTTTCAGAAAGTGGTAGGATTGACTGATATGAGTCCCTCCTCCCCTTTCGGTCCTACTCCACTTTCTGGAGAAGTTTGTTACAGCCAGTGAAGTGGCCTTTTAAGAAAGTGGAGGTGCTGGGGACGCTGTGAAAAATAGGAGCATAGAACCTAAAACTTCCCAAACTGATCATTTCATCCGTATTTGAAGAATTGAGCATTCATAAGGACAGTATGATTTAGGAACAGGCTACTCAAACGGCTAACAGACATCCTGGTGTGTGCACAGAGCGTATAAAAACCAAATTGTACTTAAGGTCCAAATCTGAGCTTGTTATGCACATATATTTTCTAAAAATGTAGAGTTAACCTGCTTAGGGATTATTGACGAGGGCTTTTGAAAGGCCTGGGAACAGAGGGCTGAGGTTGTTAACACTGGATTGGGAAGCACGTTTAAGAGGTAACAATGCGACCTCTTTGGATCAGGAAAGTTCCTGTTCGTTATGCAATGTGTGCATTTCATTATTTACCCGGTCTCACTAGGCGATTGGGAGCTGTGTACACAGCAAAGTGAGCCTTCGGCAGCGTCCTAGACTCTGAAATCAGAACTGAACACCGTCTCTGAATTGCCTTTCACTACCCTTGTCTTTGAAATACTACTTTTTCATGAAAAAATTTTCCTAAATTATAGCTACTTCTCTAGATGAAAAGAAATTTTTTTCCTTAAACGTTTTTAGGAGCTACAAGTTTCTTGGAAAATTTTCCATACTCGTTATCATTTTGCTGTAAGGACAAAGCACAGAGTAAATGCTCAGTATAGGAAGATTCAGCTAGGGAATCCCTTTTAACTTTGTGACGGGGGTCTCCGGCCCTCTCTTTTCTCCTTCCCACGGCAGCCCCTCTCTCTTCGAGACCCGTTTCCTTTCGGTATTTCCCGGAGTACGGAGAATAAATAAGGGGACGAAGCCTTATTTATTTTCTAGGCTGGGCACACCGGGGTCCTGAGGTTGACCTTGGGCGACTGGCGGGGCGCCGGGGTGGTGCGGGCGACGCCGGGAGGGGCCGGCGGGGGGCGCTTCTGCAGTTTCCGCGGCTTCGGCCCGGTAGCCCCAGGCCCGTTTCCTGCCGGCCGCTCCCGCAGTTCCCCTGCAGGGAGCGAAGGGGGCGGATCCTCGTGTGCCAGACACGCCCCGGCCCGGTTTATAATTCGGCCGGCGCTCGCTCCTGGAACTGCCGCTGAGCTCTCGCTCCGCCGGGGACCCGGGCCGGGGACCCGGGACGCGGCCCCCGCGCTGGTCGCCGGCAACTCCGGGCCGGACGCCCGCGCTCACGCCGCCCTTCCCTCCGCGCTCACGCCCGCGCGCGCCCGCACTCCGGCCCGCTCGCCCCGCGGACGCGCAGGCACCGCCGGCGAGGGCGCCCAGGGGTCCCGCGGCGTTCCCATGGCTGACCTGAGCTTCATCGAAGATTCCGTCGCCTTCCCAGAGAAGGAGGAGGATGAGGAGGAAGAGGAGGAGGGTGTGGAGTGGGGCTACGAGGAAGGTAACCGGCCGCGTGTCAGGGTGCCCGGGGTCCCGGGACGGCGCGTCAGTGTCCCGCCGAGCTCGGGGCTCTGCGTCCCGCTACCGTTGCGCGTTCCGAGCTGAACCACGTCCCCTCTTTCCCGCGGGGGTCTCCGCCACTTTCCCACTCCCGTGGCGCGTTTCGGGGCGGGAGTCACGCCAGGGAGGCGTGCCCGCCGCCCGCGTTCTCCCGCCGTCCGCGTTCGCGCCCGGGAGCCGGCGCGGGGCTGCGGTTCGTACCCTGGGTCGTCTGCAGCGAGACCAAGCCTGCAAGCCTTGCCTGCCCCTTTTCTGCCTTCCGAGTGGCCAAGAAGAGCAACGGTACATTATCCTCAACACCTCGGGAAGGCAGTGCTGGTGACACGAACGGTTTCTTGCTTGCTTTGAGGACTCTGGAGAGAAAGTGTTTCTGCCTCTAGTCTTTTCGTGAAGGAGGATACTGGCGACTCGTAGCTTTCTGAAACATGTCTTTAAGCGCAGGCTGGATCACTGGGCTTGGCCAGAAGGAGTTGGCTTTTAAAAAAACTTAGTTTCCCGAATGTATCCATGAAGACATAGGGCTCCTAATAGAGCTAACCATTACTGATGTTTACCACATATATTGAAACAAGTATAGAATATATTATTTTAGCTATAAAAATCTGGAAAGAGTAAATATTATATATGTATATAGATGTGCACACTTTAAAATACTGTATTTGCATTTCTAATAAGAGGTGTTTATTCACTAGCATCAGAATTACAGTTTTTGGCTGTCACCAAGCATGTTGAAAGTTACAGCTATTCCCAGAGTACTGAGCATAATTGAACTAATGAGCAGAGGAAATTTTTGTAGTATCATTTTTTCTAATCACTTAAAGATGACTTAAATTTCCTAGAGTCATAAATTATTACATCTATCTGGACAAATACAAATAGAGTATTTTGTTAGTCCCGGGTTTTGTATGTGTTATTTGATGATATTAGATCATTTAAATAATGAATGCAAAAACTCACATTTACCAGATCTCATCTGTATGCTGATGGTAGTCATAACCCTCTTCATAATGTCAAGGATCATAAAAGTGTTTATACTAGTTTTTACATGTCAAATTTTACTGTAACTTATTTTTTTTAACCTGTTCTTAATTTCTTTCTTTTTGTCCTTAGGTGTTGAGTGGGGTTTGGTGTTTCCTGATGCTAATGGAGAATACCAGTCTCCTATTAACCTGAACTCAAGAGAAGCTAGGTATGACCCCTCCCTGCTGGACATCCGCCTCTCTCCGAATTATGTGGTCTGCCGAGACTGCGAAGTCACCAATGATGGACATACCATTCAGGTTATCCTGAAGTCAAAATCAGGTATTTTAGAAGATACGTTTGTGTGTTCTTGTAAACTAGAAGTCAGCATGGAGCTATTGAACTCTGATATAACTAGTATGATTTTAAAGATACAATTAACATAGCTCTATTTTCAGGATACCCTTTATGTATTATAAAATGCATTGTTTTGGAATTATTTTCTGAAACAATTTTCAAAGGATAAAAGGGTGAAATTATGAAGATATCAGTTGGTTGTTCTACTTTGTATGAGTTATTGGAACGACCTTGGTTTGGTCATCTTATATAATACTTTGTGGAATATGAGGAAAGGTATATGTGGGTATACTCATCTGCACTTTGTCCTAAATTGTTGATTAGCTTAAATCATTTAGATTCTCATAATCCTCTGTTTTACTACTTTGCAAAACTAAAAATTATGAGTTATTGACGTAATCTGGCATTCAAGTTAGACTTTTTGAGTTAATTTTGTCTACTGTATCAGTATAACAAGAAGTTTTAATTAATAGCAATTAAAAACATACTGTAGACTCAGCCACAGATTTAAATGGCAAACAAAGCTCTTGCTTTTTTACATTTATTTAAGTCTCCCTACTCCCCTCTGAATGTATTTGAGATGGATCTGAAATGTCTTATGGAGAAGGTATTGGGTGATTACCAAGGAAATTGGTTTTGGCTTAATTGTAGAGGATGGGAAAGCAGATTTAAAAGAAAAATTAGCATTAATATCATGCTTTTCATAAGAATAATAACTGTTTTTCCCTCCTGAGAAGAATGTAAAATTAGAGTATGTTGAAATATTAGGCCATGCTTAATAAATAGAGACTGGGTGTGCTAAAATTAATTCAAAATCAATAAATTTTATATTTTAGACCATAAAATCTTTAGGTTTCTAAGGCAGGTATTGATTTACAACTATGGATTTTTTTATTCATTGTGGATAAATGAATGAGCTTTAATTTAGAATCCATGAGCTAGTCACAGATTCGTGTAGCCTTCCTCGCTGTTCTGAGTTTAGTCAAGGTATGGGCATGACCCAAAAGAAATTATGGGTTTTATATGTACTTGTACTTAGTCAAAGAGATGTTTCAGATGTAAATTTCAACTTAAATCAGATTTTTTTTTTGGGGGGGAGTTTATCTATGATGGTAAATTATTAAAGTATATTGTAAAATTATTGAGTGCTGACTGTCCTGGCATATAAAAAACATTTTAAGGTAGTACATGTGTATTGATATGTTGATGTGCCTTTGTACTTCTGGAAATAAATGTTTATACATCCTTACAGCAAAAATGGCATTTCATGTCAGGCAGCATGGTGAGTGTTGGTTGTATACAAGTGAAGAAGGCAGCTCTTAAGGATTCATGGCATAATGAAAACACAGTTCTTTAAAGTTCTAGTGTATGTGTGGTATGGCCAGTGTTGTAAAGAATCATTGGAGCATAGAGGGATGACTAAGCACGAGTACCCACTAGGCCAGTGTGTCCAGTCCTGCTCCAGTACAGGTTGGAAGTATTTTTTTTGATGTCATTCAGTGTTGGATGTCATTGCTGTGTTGCCTGCTAGCTTCCAGTGTTGCGACTGAAAGATCTAGTGCCATTCTGTGTTTCAGCTTCCTCTACGTGTCTTTTTTTCTTTTTCCCTCTCTGGCACCTTTTATACTTTTCTCTTTACAGCTGTTTTGAAATTTTATAGCCATATGCTTTGGTGGGGCTCTTTTTTCACTCTGTGCTGGGCAACTGGGTTCTTTCAATCAGAATAATTGTGTCTTTTATTTATTAGAAATATTCTTATATTTTTTGTATTGGTTTACTGATAAATTTTCTGGGTTTTTTTCTCCTCTTTCAATAATTACTACTTTCTTGTTGCCTTTTTCTTCTACTTTCTGTTAGAGTTCCTCAGATTTTATAATCTTTCAGTCTTTCTACTGGACTCTTAATTTCTGCTCTCGTATTTTTAATTTCTAAAAATTCATGTTTATTCTATGAAGTTTTAAAAATTTTTAAAAACACACCATCCAGTATTTATTTCATGGTTGTAGGATCTTTCTTCATTCTTTTTTGTATTGTTTTTTTTCTGTTCCCTGCCTGTCTTTGTTTATTCTGTGTTCCTTCTTCTCTTTGTTTTTGTCTCTCTCTTTTATTTCGGAGGTTCTCTTCAGATGTCTAGTGATTGTTGGCTCCTTGTTCATCTTAGGAATGGGTCTAAGATGCGGATCAGAATCTCTGTTCACTGGGCAGTGATTGAAGTCTGATGGGCTTCCCAGTCACATGATTAGGCAGGGTCCTGGCCATGTTGTTAGAGCTGTCTCTGCAGCTTATATCAATTTCTCTGGAATTTGCGTATCCCCTATTTGTATTTTCATTTTTGTTTTGGGGCTGGGGGGTGAGGGTGGCTCACAGCTGGCTGCCAGTTTTCTGGCTGTTGGCCACAGACAGGATAGTGTCACCATTTGGCATGTCCACATTCCCTTCATCTTCTGCCAGGGAGGGTAAAGGTGGCTGCCTGTCCATGGGGGATGGGACAGGGAGATTTAACTGCTGCTTTTAAAGACTTTAAATCTGTTTTCCTGTTTTCATTTCCTACTCTGTGCCTCCACATTCCACCCCCTGAGTCCTTCCTGGTATTTTCGTCCATTCAGACTGCTGTAACAAAATACCTTTGACTGGGTAATTTATAAATAATAGGATTTTATTTCTCACAGTTCTGGAAGCTGGGAAGTCCAAGAGCAAGGCATCAGAAGAAACTGTGTCTGGTGTGGGCTGCTCTCTGCTCCATAGGTGGCGCCCCGTTGCTGTGTCCTCACATGGCAGAAGACAGAAGGGCCAAACAGGCTCCTTCTAGCTCTTTTCTAAGGGCCCCAATCCCATTCGTGGAGCAGAGCCTGCATCCCTTTCACCTGGTCGCCTCTTATGCTGTTGCATTGGGGGTTAAGTTTCAATGTGAATTTTGGGGGAACACAAGCATTCAGCCTATAGCACCTGGGTTCTGTGGCAGGAATTGCCAGCCTCTTGTGGACTTCCTGTTCCTGTAGTTACTTAGCTTTTAGCTTTCTCTTTATAGCTAAATCACTAACTACCTTTTAGTCTTCTTTCCTGCCTCCTCCCCTTCCCCGTCAATTTTTTTTTTTTATTTGGCATTTCTCTTGTGCAGTTATCTCCATTCTTGTTTATTTTGCCCTGGCAAGTTTGTGCCCTTTTTATTTAGTGAGGATTGAGGAGGGGGAGAGATCAATGTGTGCGTGCTGTCCTCCTCGTCTAACTGGAGGTGCTCAAGTACGGCATACCGTCTTTGTAAATAAAAAAAAAAAAAGAAATTCTTGTGATAAGCACGATTCTTTCAGAAATGGAAGTTGACTTCATACCATCCAGTGTGCTGAAACTCAGGCCTCCCTGAGACTGTCAATGGCCTGGGTTGCTTAGTTTCTTCCTTTTTCCTTTTTTTTTGCTCGATGTATATTAAAGAATCATGAAGAATTGCCAAAAAGGGTTACAACAGTTGAAGTATAGTTTAAATGCTTAGACTTATCAAACTAAAGCTTTTAATGTAATCCTAATTACATTATTCCTGTATATAATATCCCATCTGGAGATACTGCCTTAAAGTTGAGGCTTTTTGTGAGCTTGAGTGAACCCCCTGTCCTGCGACTTTGCTGGAACTTCTCAGGCTGATGATCTCCTCATCTCCTAAATTCAGCAGGCACTTTAGAATTCTTACAGTTCTTTAACTCTGCTGCATTTGAAGTAGAATTTTTGGAAACTCTCTCTCCTGTTGGTTTCTGTGCCACGCAGTCTCCTGACATTTCTTTCTAATTTTGGCTGCCTTTTCTCTGTCAGTTCTTTGTGCTCCACTATCCTTAAATAATGGGTCTCTCAAGGTTTCCTCCCAGACCCTCTTCCCGTACTGCATGCACCCCTTGAGCAGTGCATCCATACAGACTGGGTGCGACTTTGTCCAGTGTTCTGCCTTCCCTTGAGGCAGCAAATGAGCTTAGTAAATGGACAACCGCCACAGGTCCTCTGAGTGGAACGGGCCTCTGGGGGTGGTGATCAGCCTCCCCTCTGAGACCCTCTGGCACGTGGTTGGGCAGCCTTGGCTTTAACAGCTCAGGGAGGGGCATTCATTCCTCACGAGGAAATCCGTTTTGCTTTTGAGTAATTCCAAAAGTTAGAAAGTTCTGTGTTTTTCCCGATTGTTTCTATTTTCGGTCCCTGGACCTACACCAAACAAATATTGTACTTCCACTTGATTCTTTAAAATATTGACTATGGTCGTCCTATCATGCAGTTGCCATTTTCCCTTGCAGGCATATTTAGTTCTTTCAGCTGTTGCTCATATGATAGTCCTTATTGATTTCTTACTATAGGAGTCACTTACTCTTAGGACTTACTCATCTCTGAGAGCCAGGCAGATACTATCAGTGAGAGCAACCAGGAGAGCAAAAGATTGTACATAGCTACTGACCCTTTGCTTCATTTGCAGTGTTGGGGGTCAGTAGGGCCTGGTGGTGACTGTGGGAAACTGGCAAATTGCAGAGAGCATGCCTAGTTTGCCAGATGTTTAATATGTCAGGAGAAGCTGGAGATGTGCACCTGTGAATTAAATATACATGTCCACTGGTTTCATTTGGCCTACAGGGTGTAGTTGGCGATCTTTTCTTCACTTTATGCAAGGTAACATGCTTTGGATAAGGTAAGTATAAATGAAACCCAAGGCCTGCCCTCAAGGAGGTTACAATGGTAGGTCATAGAAGATAGGTATATAAGGAGAGATTATTTTTGGTGGAAATTATTAGGGAAGGATTTATGGAGGGAGTAGCATTTGGAATGATCTTTGAAGGGTAAATAGCATTTGGATATGGGGAGTCCAGGATGGATGGGAAAGGGGTACAGGAAGCAAAAAGACATGTATGGGAAGTTCTAGAGATCATAAGAGGAAAGGCAAATCCTTCCCTATAGCTGGAAGGGAAGACTCATTCATGATAAAGCATGTTAATGGGAAATATTAATATAATAATAGG